TGAAAAGATGAGAGGCTGAGAGTGATTTTAAAAGCTTATTTTTACTGACATGAAATATTAGCCAAGGTCCTTATGCATCCGTAGGCTTGACTCTTCTTTTATCTATACCTTAAAAGCATTAATGCCGCAGAGGCTGAAATCAAGGCTCAGGCGACACAGACACTCTTCATCAGATTCAGAGAAATGCTTGCTGAACGCTGAGAGACTGAGAGGCGAGGGGGGGAAATATATGGTTCAGCGTTTCCCCCCTCACAAGAACAGCACAGTAATCAATTCCGTTTAGTACAAATCCAATGCACTTAAACTTCCAGCGCGAATAACCACAGGCTGCAGAGCAGAGGTACATTTATCGATAAAGCAATTAATTCAAACTCCTCCTCCCACCTCCTCAGCCTCCTCCTCCTCCTCCACTGGGCTGCTGCTGTTACCCCCATCCACGGCAAAGAATTCTCAGGTAACTGTTAGTCAAAAAAAGTAACTGATATTAAAAGTAAGCCTGTTTGTCTTCTCACAAATGCCTGTGGAGCAGGTTTGTTTTAACACCTCAGAAATTAGCCTCTCATGAGAGAACATGAACAAACTTTAAAGGTCCCATATTGTAAAAAATGAAAAAAAATGTGTTTTTTTGTACTATAAAGCAGGTTTAGGTGTGCTATATACATATTGTGAAAGTATCTAAACTCTCAATCCAGAGAGAAAAGCACACAGTCCATATTCAGAAACGGTGCCTTTAAATGAGCTGTCAGAACTTGCGGGAAGTTGTGATGTCACAGTTATAGTAAATGGGACCCTGTGTATTTCATGTTGGAATGTTTTGCAGTGTATGTTGGTGCTCTCAAATGGGGTCTTGTTTACAGATTTTGTGGTATTCACATACTCATAAGTGGAAATTTTTCCAAAGCTCCAAGCTGCTGGCGTTTTCAGAAATGTCGGAGGCCGTGGAAGTTCATTTTTTTGATATATGGTAATCAGGTTGACCGAGTCAGTGATCTCTTTTGAGTCTCTTTTTAAAACTTTTTTAGTTCATTTGGACCTGTAGTTCCCAACTGGTTCAGCCACGGGGTCCAAATTTCTCCTTGATCATTAGTACAAGGTCCACGCAGTTTAATATATTTAGCGTCATACTTGCGTTCGGCCATGTTGTCAAGCTAGTTTGCTGTATTTCTCATGTAGCTGTCCGTTAGTCACGCACTCTACAGCGAGAAACAGCACTTCAAAATAAAAGCTCTGTGCTGGAAAGTCACTGTACTTAAAAAAATGTGTTATTTTTTTTTTTTTACAAACCTGACACATTTGCGAGTCACTTGCGGTCCATTCAGAATGGATCTGCAGCCCACTTTTGGACCACGACCCACCAGTTGGGAACCACTGATTTAGACTGTCTCTTATTTCCTCAGTTTTATATACAACAGTGTTTTTATCAGTTTTTTAAAAAAGTTGTTGTTTCCATGTCTCGTCTTTTTTAATTACTGACATGTAAAGCACTTTATAAATAAATAATATTGTTATATTATTATAAAGTAATGTAATTCTAGTTGCGTAATTTTTCTCTGTAATTTTACAAAATGTCTGACGCCTCATCTTTTTCCTCCGTCATTATGTCTTTGCATTAATCCGCTAGCAAGCTTGCTTAATTGTTAGCCTCAGTGGCTTCTAGACAAGGACAGTAGCATCCATGTTGCCGTTGCCTAGCAGCAGTGCTTTCATGAGGTAACCACTTGAACGCTAAGCATATTATGTGCACGACTTTATAGGTTCACAAGTTCAATTTGAAGGCAGCATGTTAATGGCATCAGCTGGCAGGAAGTAAACATGGACCCATGCTGCTGCCCAGCAAGACAACTCCAGTGAAACCGTCTGTAAAGATAGAAAGTGCCGCTACGCTACACAAGCGCAGGTGTGTGATGTTGCCTTCAAATGGAACTCATGAGCTTGTGTTTACAAGATGGGAAGTCATGACCACGAACTTGTGAACTCAAAGCTCTCAGAAAATTTCCACTTACAAGGTTATGAATACCACAAAAGAAGGGTCATGTGGACTCATCTTGTCAGCACCAGTAAACATGACCCCATTTGAGCCCTGCATAAAACCCACTGACCCATCAGAGCAGACCAGGGCTGACAGAGACAGGTGTTAAAACGGATCATTTCAAACAGAGGATACTGTATATTCCGGCAGACAGTATGAGAACAATAATGTGTTTTTTACATATTAAAGCATGCAAATATGTTCTAGTTGAAACCCCAGATACAAGTATGAACCTAAAAGTGAGCGTGATATGGGGCCTTCAAAGGTCCAGTTTGTAGGATCTAGTAGTGTAGGAGAACTACAGTGGCCGACACAAAAATGCAAATGGCCCTATCCAGAGCCGGTGTTTGATTCGTCCATTCTGGGTTACTGTAGGAACAAAGAAAGAGGACCCACTATGGATGTATACACAGACCTGGATACAGCCTTCAACTGCTACGTATGAAATTACCCGGATGGTAAGCACCACTTTAGCGTGCCTCCTTTATGGGCCGCAGAATGCTAAAGACTTGCTAACTTCCTGTTTAGTGTTCCGCTAACTTGAACAGGGATAAAGACATTACATCGTGCAGCTCTTCTAGACTTTCCAAATATTATTGGATCAAATGGATATCGAACCAGCTGTGTGTCATCGCAGTGTGTGCAGATGAACGGTGTTTAGCTTCGCCCCTGTGCCGCTGCCAACACCTGGACCTCCGGGTGTCAAACAACGTTCATCTAGGTGCAATGCGATGACACAGAGCTGGATGAAAATCAGCAATGTTTCCCTGCTTCCCTTCACTGGTTCCTGTACAGCAGGGTCGGCCTTTGTTCCACTGTTATAATCATTACAAAGCAAAAGCAGCATGTGTATACATTCAGTCGGCTATATCTTCAGTAGCTAGCTAGCTAACCCTACACTTTTCAGGGTTTGATTTTGGTTTTGGAACAGGGAAGAAACGTTTATCTTTTCACAACCTCTCCAGGTAACGAGTATCATTAATACACGACGTGCCCCAGGCACAACATTTAGCTCCAAATCCACAAAACCAGCCTGAAAATGAAGGAAATTTGAAACAATGGAGCACAGCACTGTTGTTGTCGGAGCCTGATGCTATGTTATGATTGGCCAGTCCATGTCCGAGGGCGGGACTTAATAATAGTGATTTAGTTGTCAAAATATTACATATAAGCTGTGTTCGAAATCGCTCCCTATCACAGATATAGTGCACTATATAGTGTGTTGGCCATTTGTTGTTCGAATTCTCTGCGGTTAATTTCATTCACTATATAGTGTACTATAAAATACCCACAATGCACAGCAAATGTGAGTGAACAAACGATGTACCCTACATTTTACTCCCATATACCACAATGCAATGCGGTCGTCTTTTGCCAGAGGAGAAGAAGAAAGGCGCAACAAGCCAATAGTTTACTTATATCAGCTAGCATGTTAGCTTAGATTTTTTTTAGGCTAATTAGCAGTTAACGTTGGCGAATCAACAAAAGGCGCCTTAAACGCCTAAGATATGTTTGCCTTCGCCTCCGTCTTTGCCTGAGGAGCAGGACTTGGGTCAGCAGCATCCAAACAATCACCGGAATCATTATTGTAATACACAAACAGAAAAGAAACGAATAGGATGCCAGCCGGTAAAGTTAGCTCACAAGCTAACAATAGCCACTTAGCTCGCACGAGCCAGATAGCTTGTAGCTCACGCACTATCATGGGCTATTACAGCTCACAATGCAGACACACCACCGTAGCTGACAAAACCAAACGTCCACACCATTGACATTTCAACAATTTAGTGACAAAAAGTACAACCACCATACAGTTCGATCATTCTCAAAGCGCCCGGTTTGTTTACATGATGCTCGGTGCGTCCACTTGCATCACAGGAGTATGCAGCACAGCTACTGCCGCAACGAAGTTCAGAAAATTTCAGTTAGTGTCCGAAATCTCGTTCAGTCGTTCCCCATGTAGTGCACTAGTAAACACGAAATAGGGAATAGTGAGTGAGTGAGTGAGTGAGTGAGTGGACGGTTTTGAACACAGCTATATACTGCACTCTTTTTTTCATTTGTTTCATTCTGAAAAATTTTTAAAAATATATTTTTGTTCATTTTCCCCTGTGAATTTATATTTTTACCTGTTACAGCTTTTTGCGGGTTACCTGTCGGGTACTTGACCCAGTGCAGAACTCTGTGGGAGATTACTGAAACAATTTTATTGCACAAAACAAAATTCAGTGACTTTTCCAAAACTTTATGGCCTGGAAAATGTTGTGAAATTCCATGACTTTTCCAGGTTTTCCATGACTGTGAGAACCCTGAAATGATGTTTAGACGAAAACAAACAAGAAAAGTAAAAAAATGTAAATATAATTGACTTTTATGTGGACTAATAAACTTTATTCAGCATTTAACCGCTGGTTGAAAAGCAGGTAACGTTACGACGCCTTTAACTGTAACGTGTCCGACCGTTACATTACTCCGCTCGTGACTGGTAAGAGTATTAACGTCACTAACGACACCACTCTGCTGACTCCGCGGTCCAGTGCAATTTTAAACTGGGACTGGGTGAGCACCAGTCCGTCTACAGGAGAGGAGAGAGGGAGAGAGACAGGGAGACAACCATTAAAAGAGCATCCAGAGCTCCTGTGTCGCCTCCATTAAGTCAAACTGACACAACTACAGCAAGACCGGAAGCACAGCTTTAGCCTTCAACGTAAAAGCGCATATTCTTGGGACAAGCTAGGTGAGTACACGAAGCTATAAATGTGGGGAGGCACGCTTTAAATGAAAAGTACGTCATTTTGATTTCATCGTGTATCGAAAACAAGTCTTCGTGTTCACTTTGGGAGCCTTTTTGAGCGTGTAGCAACCTGTATGCGTGAATTAGTGTTTTATTTTGAAAATCTACACCGGTAGTAGCGGTTCTATTTTCCCGGGCTTCACCCTCTTCCATCTCCCAGAGCTCGGTCGGCTCGCAGAGACAGCAGGATGCCAAGGGGAGCACTCCGACACACGGCGTCCGTTTTACCGTCCCCCGGCGTCGTCTCTCGGCCACAGAAACTCTGATGGGCGTTTTTATCTTCCTTTTACCGTCCTCGACGCTTGGATATTTTCGGAAGCCACGAAATGAAGCGAATGAATGTGAGCAACAAGAAGTGTCCTGTTGTTGTGCCTGTCTCCAGCATCACTAGTAGTCAAGTCCTCTCTGTGGATGCGGTGCCTCTGTGATTTTTTTCCCCCTAGTTGTCTTGTTTTCAGAGGATTTTTGTATGTAGTGTTCAGTAGCGGACTACCAAACTTTTCCCCGCTTCTTTTTGTTGTGTCTTTTTCGAGGTTTTCCGCCTTTGAAACAAAGATTTCAGGATAGACCAACTCCGGAAAACCCAGCGACTTGACATCTGCTCCCGGCGGAATAACCATTGTTAGCGGTTATTCGCCCTTTGTACAAGCATCTTCTCTGGGGTGGGAACACGACTGATGCTTGCCTTTGCTCGTCTATTCCGAGTTTTGTCTCGTCTCGTTCTGTTTGTCTGTTTGTCCCACAGTGGCATGAAAATTCATGAATGCGTCCAAGGACATGTATACAAATTACGCATGCACCATGACGGTAGTAGGCTGTGCGTAATATCCTATTACTATTATTTCCCTACCACATGAATGCAACAACAAACACATTCAATCTCATTCCTGTGTTTGGAGAAGATCTGGCAGATTCATCCTAACTTATTTTGTGTGTGTGTGTGTGTGTGTGGCACGCGCGTTATGAGTGTGGCAAGGTGGGAAAGCTACATTTTATGCGCTAAAAATGACAAGTGGTGCATTTAGGGCCACATATTTAAATTTGTTTTGTCTCCAGGAGTTAAAAAGGAAATTAAAATCCTATTAGATCTCATGCAGTTGCCCCACAATTAACGCCCCGCGTGTGTGTGTGTGGATGGTTCAGGGGGGAATCTGCGCGCAAAAGCATGCACGCCATGTCCATGCGCCTGCGTGTGTGCGCCCCTGGCCGCGCTAACATGCTGCTGTTATTCTGTGCGTTTGTGTGCGTGTGTGTGTGTGCAGCCACGCTGGAAGTCGCCCCCCATGTGGCCGTCGGGAGTGGGGAGCAGGCAGCCCTGCCCGCGGGAGTCGGCGCTGCGCAAGGCGGCCATCAGCGGCAACATCAACGCCCTGCCGCACCACGTCCCCACCGGCCGCAGCGTCCGGGTCTTCATCTGTGCCAACCCCGACGGTAAGACTCACAGCCCCAGCCCCTTCCGCCCCCCCCAACCACCATCATGCTACACTCTCAACAAGCCTGCAGACCCGTAAATGACACAAGACAGATTTTATGCTGTGACTCAGATTATTTTGCATCCAGACTTCTGGGGCTTTTTAGGATGTTTTAGTTCAGCAGCATGCTTCATAACTTGTGCTGACAGCTCATGAGGAATAACCATAAATCAGATAGCAGCAGACTCCTGCTGGTTGATGCACCCAAATACAAAATACAGCCACTTTCCAAGCATGTGATCCAGTTGTAATTTCATTTTGCATTAAAAAAAAATCAGGGTTCTCATGTTCGTCTAAACGCTCGGTGCTCAGCTTCCACACACTTAACCTAACACAAGTGGAAAACCTCTTAAATCAGGTTAACATCAGGCCACATGACAACTTGACAAAAAGCAAATTAGCGCGTGATTCCTATAACGCAGCGAAACAGCAGATTGCTCTCGACATAGGGAGCATGGTGTGAGCAGAGTGCAAGACAGCCGGGTCGTGAGGGAGACACCCAGTTGCAGCTCTGTATTTGAATATGCCCTCTGGGCGAGGGGGTAAAAATAGGCTCGGTAAAACTGGAGTAAACAAGGCAAGGGAAGTGGAGTAGGCTATGAGGGAGAGAGGAGGAGAGAGAAGGAGGGCAATGGCAGAATTAAAAAAGGCAGGTTGCTTTTGTCCATACATCACTGTCATTTGCTCGCCCTCGCTGAGCAAACTGCAGCGGATCCCAAAAACGAAGAACGAATTGACCTGAGATTATTGCACTGTTATGGCCCTGAAGTGCTGTCGACGGTGAAAACGCCTGCCGCTGTTTAGCCACCTGTAGCTGACTCAGTCATTCAGACCGTCCCGTCACAGCACGAATTTAACGCTCCGATCTACACGTGGATGGAAAAACGATGAGGGGGCTGCTCCAAGTAGTTGTTTTCACACCGTCGGCACAAGTGGAAAGACACACATCTCAGCCTGGGCTGTGAAAGGAGCTAATTATGAGCTGCTGTTTCCAGTGAAGCGAGGTGCTGGTATCCAGTGCCATATCCTGGTAATGAAGCCATAGAGACACACACGCTGTCTTAACTTCAGACACTGCTGATTCCCCCATTATGTTTGCAATGAAGGCGTTCTTTGCATTTGTTCTGATCTCTTTGTGGACTGATTCAAACTGTGTGCAGAAACTCTCCTGTACTCGAAAACCTTTGTGCTGCTTCAAGCCCTGCCTTTACTGTACTGTATCAACGTGCACATAAAGAAATGGCTTAACGGTGACCCAGCTCTGCCCTCAATCTGCTGCACAACCTGTGTCTCCATGTTCACTAGAGGGGGCTGTCCATGCACTTATTTAATAGCATTCACCTTACTGTACATGTATAATGTGGGCAAATCTGTCAAGCAATCAACATGGACCAAACAGATACAGCTCACAATACGAGAAACCCGTCTCTGCCTCAGCATCAGCCTCTCTGCATTCCCCTCCAACCTTTTCCATAAGATCCAACTGTACATACTGTGGAGTATAAGTCCATTCAGTCTCCTGACTTGAAAGCTGCGGCCTTGAAATTCAATTAGCAACTCTAACCTTTGTTGAGGAGGAAGAGAAAGGGCATGTTTCCTCGCATGGATCCCCAAACCAGATACATAAGCAATGAATGAGGCAGTGTGAGTGTGACGGAGTTGCCGAGAGTTGGGCAGCATTATCCTTGCCAGGGCGTTCTGCAAGAACATGGAGCAGCCAGTTGGTGGGAAAAAGTAGCCAGCTTGAGGGATCAAGGGGTGAATATCCCCAGGAGAAAGATTTTGGCCATAAAAGCTTAAATTTTCTGCCCTCTGCATCGGGTTGGGTGCCGTTCACATTTGAACCGATATTGGTGCCGTTGTTGGTACCTTGGATTTGAAACAGGTGCCCAACGGTACCTCTTTTCGGTACTGTACTCTTTCTGTAATAACAAAAATGTAATCGACAAGCACTTCTGCCTTTCAGCTCTTTTTTAATCAAACAGAGTGAAGTCTCTGTCTGCTTATGTGTGTCTTCTCGTCTCTCTTGCTCTTTGTCTGGACGAAACTAACTAATATGTGGAGTTAGTACATAATTTAAAACACAATCACAACAGCAGTGATACAAGGCTATTTTTAAAATAAGGTGGAAAAGAAACTAGACGAGACGGACAGAAACGATGGGGGCTGCAAAGATGGTTTCAGCTCTCTGGGAAGTGGATGAAGCTCCACAGCCAGCTTCCTGGCCTGGGGTCATTTTGTGGTGCTTCCTTTCTAACCCTACTGTCTCTGCTGAACTACACTGTGACTGCCGCAAAGTGCCCCTAAGCTGGGAACTTGGCCACATGGAGTTTCACGGAAGGCTTCAATACTTCGGGGAGCTTCATGGTGCTTCCACCTCCTGTCTGAATCCGGCGTTCTCACCCAGGTACCACAATCTAATGCGACTGATTTAACGTGTATTGCGGCTTCCAGAAAAGTTCAAAATGAGCCCCAAACAAACATTCTCCAAACAACAGGTCTTTACAAAAACTAAGTTCAAATCAATGGAATATTAAACGACTCCATCAAACAATAAAAACTAAGATTAACCATAGGCAGGCAGTGGAAGCGTGGAAGATGCCATGAGGTTACAGTGTTTATCACTGTAACCTCATGGCATCTTCCACGCTCCACACTCACTTTAGCACACCTGCCTTTAAGATGCCAGGTCAGGAGGCACATTTAGGGAGCGATCACACCGAGATGAAACGCTAGAAACGCGTCTGACCGGCATTCAGGCGTCTTTATAGACAGGCGTTTATCCGGCATCTTTTTAGACGCACGTTTTTGTAGACGCTTCTTTTTAGACACGCATTTTTAGACGTGCGTAGACGCTGAAAAGTTAAAATATTTTCAACTTTTTTGAGCATCAGACGCCAGTAGCTAGCGCGCATTGAATAAGCGCTTCTGGCATTTCAAGCGTCTTTGAAGCGTCCGCGTCTCTAGCGTCTCATTTCTGTGTGATCACCCCCTTAAGTGACTCAGAAAATAATAGGAAACTCGGACTACCTAGAAATGGTTCTAATAATGTGAATTGATATTGGTAGTGCTGACGCAATTCGGTCAGTACCCTGAAAAGTACCAGGTTCTGTACCCAACCCGACCTCCGTCACATTCTAATGCCACTATTCCATCATATACACTGATTCTCATTATTGCATGTGTTGCTGAGTTTGATGATTTAAGAATGAACGTTCACTTTGTTACACACAAAGGAGGAGAAAATAACTTAATGACAGGATAACCAAAAATCTAAACCATGGGTAACATCTATAATGTGGAAAAACATGTATTTGGTCATAGCTATGGTACTGCAGGAAGTTCTGTAATATATTATTTTATTTTTCAAAGTGATTTGGAGCATTTTACATGTTGCGTAATTGTTCAGTGACAAAAAATACAAGCCATTTTAGGACATTTTAACCCGTGAAATTACAGTGTGAGGATGAGGCATACATGTCGGACTGTTACTTTGACAGCATTGCCTGTTCTAGTGTGTGTTTGCAACCTGTCTTAGAGATGGCTCTGCTGTTGTAAGAGCAGTGTAAATAAAGATCATTCATTCATTAGGCCTGTTAACTGTGAGCTGTGTGGAAAATGCAGCGCTTTCAGTGGACTTTTTAATGCTTACCGCGCAATCGTCAAGTTCCTGTCGCTGTTGTTTTCCGAAGTAGCCCGGCTAATGAGAGAGCCCACTGTCTGTGCAATCAGTTCTGTTTTAATGAGCTTTATCATCAGTTATTTTGCTAATATTTGTCAAACGCTGAAGACAACTTTTTTGCTCTCTAATGGTGTCAGCTGAGCACATGCAAAAACACACTCATACAGAGCAGTGGTTCCCAACTGGTCCAGGTTTCTCCTTAGTCATTATTTCAAGGTCCACACAGTTTAATATATTCAGTGTTATACTTGTGTTCGGCCATGAAGTCGAGCTAGTTTGCTGTCTCTGTTAGGTAGCTGTCTGTTACTCACTCACTCTACAGGGGGAAACAGCACTTCAAAATAAACTGTTTTTAAAAAATAAAGGATTTTTTCCAAACTTGACAAGTTTGCGAGTCACTTGAGGTCCATTTAGAACGGACCAGTTGGAAACCACTGATATAGAGCGTGGGCCCATTTCTCGATCATCATGCTTGCATTGTTTTGAAGTTGAGGCTCGTGCTCGTGAAATGTACTGTACGTGCAAAGCAAATCACAATTTGTTAATCAAAGCTATTTTAATAGAATTGAGGGATAGATGCTAATATTTTTGGCCTCTTTGGCTACCAAGCCCCTTTATTTGGAGGCCAAAGTAGACTTTTGATGCCCCGTATGTAACATATGTTAGAACAAGAAACAAAAAGGCAATTTAACACAGTTAACACAGACTTCCTTAACTGTGACACTTTAATAAATTAAAAACTAACAGAATGAAAACATCTTTGTGAACATGTGGTATATTTTCTCACTGTCTCACTGTTGACAGTCTGTTGTTATTTTTCTTTGTTATTATCATCTCTAGTTATTAGTGGCAAAATCAAAGCATCATGAAAACGTTGAGGAAATTAATAATTATATGTATTTTGGTCGCCCTAGAGAAGAAAGTCCCACTAAAAGATACATGATTGATTTTAAAATAATCTTAACTGCTGTTTCTTATTGTTTTATATTTAGTTTATTTTTTTAAATGGAAAAAATGTATTCATTGTGTTAGTCCGACTAAAACCGGACTTTTAAAAAACATGTAAACATGTTAACCCCACTGAAATTATACCAAATCAAATTTCTAAAAGTCAGACTAACACACCCAGATTATGTGATTGGGGTTTGTATTCCTCCTGCATGTATACAGTCAATTGGACCCAAACTGGCCGAGGCGCTCTGAGCATGCTCCACAGTTTCCGCCCTGGGCTTTGACCCTGAAGTCAAAAGCATTAAATGTGTAACAGAAGAAGTAGC